TTTGACTTGGCCAAACATTCTAGCTTTTTATTCTTGAATAATGGTAATTATAACTTAGATTTTCTACGTTTTTTGTTGTTATTGTTTTAATTTCTTTATTTTTATTTTTATATTTTTACCTTTTCATGCTATCCTTTCGACCTTTTTATTTCATATTTCGGACCAATGATCTACAACTTCCTCAAAGTCCTTTTCTTTTTTTTAAACAACTCTATTTCCGTAAAGCCTCTCTGTCTCTCGCTCGCTCTCTCTCTCTTTTTTTTAAACAGCTTTATTTCCGTGAAGCGTCTCTTCTAGCTGTCTCAGATCTATGCGCGCTCTGCCGCTCGGCCTGTCATGTGACACCAACTTGTCCAACTCACACTTCCGCTACTGCGTGTAAAAAAGTTGGTGAAATCTGGAAGAAGTTTCTCTCTGCTGCAACTTTAAACGCTGCGCTGCGTTGACGTCTCGTCAGATTTATGAGCAATTTGTAGCTCGAAAGAGAAGCAGAGAAGAAGTTTTCTTGTCGGTGGCTTGTTTGGAAGCTGAGCATGTCGACGGGAGCCTTGTACAACGACCAAGGAGGAGCGGAGACTGCGGTGGAAGCGGGGCAGGAGAGCACCCCGACCTCCTCCAGCTCCGGAGCCGCCTTCGGACTCTTCAGCGCCGACTTTAAAAAGTAAGTTAGCTCGGCTTGTGTTCCGTCCAGCGGCAGTTTGGGTCATTTATGGTGAAGTTAGACGGTTATGTTGAACCGAGGGCTGCTGTGGACGTGGGGAGAGGCCAGCATCCACACACTGATGACGCCTAGCTGCTAGGAGCTGATGGAGCTGCTCGCTGTCAGGTACACATATGAGACATTCAGGGCCTGTTGGACACCTGCTGCTTTCTACTGGCTGGGATAAAGCCACTGTAGGCAGGCAGGGACGGATTATGAGGAAGTGGTCTCCAGGGCACAGACATGTCAAAGGCCCCCCATCCCTCTCACACAGAGACCAGACACCCAGACTGAGACAGGAACTGACAACCCGACATGAAAGTGTTTTACATCCCAGTGTGCTCCTTGTCCAGCTTGTTCAGGGTTTTCAGCGTCCTGCAGTGGTTCCTTCTCTTTGCAGTCGTTTTGTGTGTCTGTGTTCATTTTGAATTTTGCAGTGTTTTTTAGTCACTTTTTGCAAACATGTAGGGTTTCTTAGTGGTCATTTTGAATAACGTTTAGGTCATTTTGTCTCATTGTCGTCATTTTTAATTCTTCAGTGGGCCTCATGTCTCTATTTGCAGTCATTTTGTGTTGCATTGTCGTCTTTTTGACTTTTTCGTGTTTACTTTGACACTTTCGCGGTTGTTTTGTGTCTTTTGGTTGATATTTTGTGTTTATTTGCGTCTCTTTCTGGTTATTTTGTTATTTTTTGTGGTGGTTTTGTGTCTTTTGTGGTCTTTAAATGTATTTTTATAGATGAAATGGGATTTGGAGTCATTTCTTTTTCTTTGTTGTCGTTTGGTATGTGTTCCTGTGGGGGGTTTTTTTATGGCTCATTGTAGCCATTTTGGATCTTGTCGTGGTCCTTTTGTGTCTTTTGCAGTTGTTTTGTGTCTCTAGTTTCCTTTTTTAGTCACTTTTCAATCACATTGTGACGTTTTGCAGGTTTTTTTGTTGCTGTAATTTTTTTTTGCGTCTGTTGGCACTACGTTTGTGTCTCTTTGCTGTCATTGTGTAACTCTTTCTGGTTCTTTCACATGTTGTGATAAGTTTGAATCTGGCAGTGGTCCTTCTGTGTCTATATGCAGTTGTTTTGTGTTGCATTTTCATCATTTTGCATTTGTTTGAATCGCTGTCTGGTTGTTGTACACCAGGTATTACTCTTGTCAGCTTTGCATCTTTTAGTGATGTGTAAATGTGTTGTTACAGTTATTTTTTGTCTTTAAAGGCATTTTTTTGTCTCTTGTACTTTACCTGCTTTTTCTTTGGCCAGTTCACATTTCTAAAACTCAAAGGTAATG